TAGTATCCATAAAAAAGGTAATCAAACATATCAAAAATAAATTTTGTAGGATTTATTAAATAAAAAAAAATCTTTTCTTGTCTTTATAATACATTGTTTATAATAATATTAATAAAGGTGATTACTTCCTAAAATTGAATAATAATATTAGGGCCAAGGTTAATACAAAACATAAGGCATAAAATATTTATTAAAATGAGCTAAAGATTAAATACAATTTTAATCCATATTTAAGGTATGATAAAAATATTAAAATAGAATTCCTGCAACACAATATCTTTTAATTAAAACAACTATTGTTAACCATAACTGGATTAAGTATTAAACAATTAAATTTGAATTTTGATTTATAAAAAAATCTTTATTACTAAGGAGATTAAGATTAAGAATTATAATTATTTCTAAATAAGATGAATTACACCGTATGAAAACAATATTTAAATATTGAACATGATATGACTAATACTAATAATTACTTAACAACTAAACRGGCATAACTTTAGCAGGTATGCACTATGCAAGTATTATAATTAAAAATGTGTCAACAAGCACTTACTTTATAATTGTCAAACCCATCAAGATGGTCCTTATTAAGATAGAGGTTATCAAACACCATTGTGTATACTTATATCAATTATTTAAAATTCTGTAACCAAGCAATCAATAGTTTAATAAATTATAGAAAATAAAAACCAATTAGGAAACACTTGTAAAGTTGTAACTGGTTKTCATGGAAGCTATTTCATACCTGATTTACAAATAATCTCTTAGGTTTAAGCCAGTTTGTTGTTAGTGAATCAATACAATAATTATTGTAATTAGAATTGAGTAATGAGATGAGATTATTGCTGTGTAGGGCTTGTGATTATACATAGGTCTGTTTCATTTGCGGAAAAAAATATTAAATACATTTTTATTTATTCGTACAAAGAAAATTAAACTATAGAGGATCATAAATACAGATCTAAATTAAAAAGAAACACGGCGCATATTTGATAATGTTCAATTGTTTTGTTGAAACGCTAAAAAAATTAAAACTAACACTCGATCCTTGAACTTTGTATTGCTAAGTGCTTAACGCTTACCGTTTTTTTTCCACTAACACTAATACCACCACCACCACCACCACCGCCACCGGTAAAATATCATGCATTCATGTCATACTCAAGCCAACGCAGAGACCAATATTGAATGATAAGTAATAGCTGATAATGGTTCAGCTTATCATTCGAAAAATGCCGATCGATTAAAAGTTGTGCTTATCACTGAACACGAATACCACAGTGCACAATGTCTGCCGACCACAGGGCTACAATTTACTAACTAAAAATTATCTAGCACACAAATCCACAATAATCAGGGGTTAAAGTGGGGGGGACGCAGGAGGACTCAGTCCCCTTACCTCTGACGGCGGTTAAAAAGCGTCCCCTTTAACAAATTAGGATTTTATACATTAGACATTATACATAAAATTATATATGGAACGCTTAAAACTTTTTGGAAACATTAGTCCCCTCTGGAATTTTTTCCCACTTTAACCTCTGACAATAATCTAATTATAGTGGCATAAAGTATGAATAACAATAATAACATAAATCTTTAAAATTATTTATTCTATAATTCTATAGTTTATGATTATACGAATAAAACCATTAAAATTCCGAAATCAAAATTGAATATAAATTATGGCAAARTTAAATTTCAGGGGTGGAGGGAGGAAATGCCCATAGCCCATATTACCCTCCTGAGGTACACTACTGAGGTTTATTTTATTTTAAAAAGTATCTACCTAGGATTTTTTAATTTTAGTCCATCAAGTTACCAACTTGATTTAATTTGCAATTGCTTATTAAATAATTTAAGAACTATCCTCAAAGTTGAAAATCTGGACGAAGTATAGTGTAGGTATATCTTGAGATATTTTATTCTGTGGTTAAAACTTAACGTCTTTACCTTTGCTGCTTATTAATAATAGCGACGTCACACACATACACAATTGTAAAATCAATAGGAACATTTATCGTTCCACCCAGACTAAGTCTGGCAAGTCTATAAAATATGCATTTTTATTTTACAAGCATTTCATTTTGTTTTTTTTTTAGATATTTTTAATTTTTTTTATCATTTTTTTTACCTGACATACAGGATGATGCTCGGTGATATATTTAAGTTTTTAGTCTTTTCACACTCAATATTTCGAAAAATGTCAACTTTAAAAAAATATTTAGTTTTACATGATTTTATGTCGTTTTAAAACAATAATAATTATAATAATAACTAGAATATTATTCGGAGTATTTCAATCTTTAAAGATCAATAGGTATTCGAAAAAATAGTTCATTAGTTGTAGTTTATTACTTATAGGCATTTCAAGCTTATATAATACAAGGTGTAAATAAGATATAAGTGATAGAACAAACTTTTGTTCAAAATAATTTTTTTATTTATTTATTAATTTTTTTTTTTTGTTCATTAAGTGACTCAACGCTATACATATATATAATAATTTTTTTATGTTTATTTTTAGTACTGAAAATTAAAAAAATGTTTATTAAAAAAATGTTTAGATAAATTCAAAATACCTAGTCTATATTTGTGAATCTGATTATATGAACAATTTTTATGTGGAAAGGATTTATCTTAGTCAAGTAGTTTCTTTTAAAATTCAATATTTTTTTGGTTGAATTAATTTGGAAGATGTTAACTTTAAAAAAAATATGATTTCTGAGAATTTTCTGACGTGAGTTTATTTCTTAATATAATATTAATTATTTTTGTCATATACGTTTAATTAGCATAAATGTTTTTTTTTTTCGTCAGGTCTTTGGTTTGGTCCGTATATATGAGCAGAACGGAGTGGAACAGGGATACCGGATACCGGATTGTAAAATTGAAAAATATTCCCTAAAAATTTACAAAATTACTAAATACGCAAAAATATGCACTGTAATAAATTAATAATAAAGTAATTTTTTTATATTTTTTTCGTAATGTCGAGAAACGATAAAAATAGTAAAAATAGTCAYTTAGATCTTCACAAAAGTATCTATGGGTTATAATCATGGGCATCCATGTGCCCCCTCCCCCCCTGGACAAAAAATAATATGAAACAACTGTAACTATATAGGTATATATGACAATACAAATATAACATGCATATTTACATTCATATGTGAAAATAATAACATTAAATCTTTACTATCTTACATTTTTTATTTTTTTTTATTTTGACCCTCCTTAAAATTTTTCCTAAGGGCGCCCATGGTTATAATATATTAGAATAMTTCATTATATTTGTACTGTTATTTAATTTTTTCTTACAGAAATCAATAATATTTTTTAATAGGTTAGGTATACATTACATATTAGTATACCTGGCAACCTTATAATATAGTGACCATGAAAAACCCACTGCTACAGTTTAGTACCTATTATTACATTTTCAATAAAGTCCATTAGCTGTTTCCGGTTTGAAAACCAAGAAGAATTCCACATTTGGCATATAATAGGCATAATTATTATAGTCATCACATTATGGTATATAGAATTTATTATATTCTGTTCACTTGGTATTTAATAGGTATATATGGATATAATGTATAATAAATGTATCTAAATAAGTAGTCTAGGTACATATACTTCATCAGAAACTTAATTATTTACTTCCGTCAAATAATAAATTATGAATTAATAAAATGCTTCAAGTTTCTAAAATTCACACTTTTTGAATATTATAACACAAATCTAAAAACGTTTGATTAGAAATCATTATTTTAAATTTTTAAACGAAAATATTATCCAATTTCATCTAAATTTTAACTTAAAAACTTCAAATGATCATTGAAAATTGCTGTGAATTTAATATCAAATGTTTTTTTTTTTTTAATTCCACTAACTTATTAGTTATTGGTGTATTACATTTTAAATAATTTTGACACTTAATATTTTTAATCTACAATTATAGAAAACAAACTAAAACATCGTTGATTAGAATAGATATCTCGGAAWGAAAAAATATTTAAATCAAATTAGTATTGAAAATGCTAATATTTGGTGAAAATTTCAAGTATAAAAATCTTCATAATCATAATGAAATATTTAAGAATTTTTTCTACTATAAAATGTCTAGTTATATATGAATATATAAAAATAGCACTCATCATTGTAAAATCATTACTTTCATCATTCCATTCAGAATCTAAAAAACTTTTAGTACATTAATATATTTTTTGTTATGTAGACACTAGAAATATAGTATTAGTAATTTAAAATTTTGAGGTGTTCAATACCTATATTAGAKWTTTAGAGCTAGTTTATAAAATATTTTTTAGAGCTAAATTAATTAATTATTTAATTTTGTATTTAATTTTTACATTATAGGTATAAGTCTTATGAACATTTAAGCAGACTTATGGAGGGGAATTTAACCTATAACTATAAAGTTTATAGAGGCGGATATTGTGTACGAGGACAAACATTGAAGCATATAGCGAAACCCGGTACCTATATGGCTATATATAGGTTTGTACAGAATGCGATATTCAATGATATTTGATACTCGTTCAGTCGTTTGATTCCTTTCAAGATGAGATCGTTATTGATTTTAATCACCGTGTGCTTTGTGTTGTCGTCGGCAGGTACAGGCAATTTTAAATGATGGAAATTAACACCATTATTATTAATAATAATTAATTATTGTGTCAATTATTTTTAGACTCCGCTGTAAACTGGACCGTGGATGATAACACACTACCAGAATCCTTACCAGATTTGATGCGTGTCAATAATTATAGAAATGAAGAAATTCAAAACGCGCTGTTTTGGGCGTATAAAATTCAGTACGATGTCATTTCAGAACATATCGGTCGCGTATACGATGCAGAATCACCATTAGAATATTTCAACGATGTATTGATTTTACCTAAAACCAGAACATCATTAATAAATTCCAACTTCGTATTCGAAAATAATACCGTCAGTGGTCTAATGAGTTTAAAAAGCAATAATGTTATCATACGATGGTCGCAAGATCGGGTAAGCTATAATTTCAAATTTAAATTATTACAATGAAATTTATTTTAGATGCATAATATGATCATAATATCATATATAAATATTAGTGGGTAGTAGCTCAATTATAATATATTATAGTTCTAAAATTACAGTAAGCTTCAGCCTCATTCCCTTATCATATTATTCAAAATCAGGCATGTAGTCCTAAAGTTATTTGTGAGTATGCTACATATGTGGCAGCTTTTGTCATCAACCCAGGCCCGTAGCCACGGTGGGAAAGGGCGTTGCCCCCTTAAAAATATTAGACAGACATTGTTTTATATATAACACCCCCCTCCCTAAAGTTTGCTTTGCCCCACCAGAAAATTTGGTCTGGCTACGAACTGCACCAACCCCTCCACCTCCACCTCATTTCATTTATATAAATTAATAACATATAATTAGTTATTATTTTATTAAGTTGATTTTAAATTATAATAACTTTAACAATGTAATTAATATTATTATAAAGTATATTTATTTACCTAATACATAATATATAATAATACTTCTGTCAGCTAGTTTAAAACAAGTTTTGTGAACTGGGTATACGCATGTTTTTCAGCGCATACTTCCGGTCTCAAGTTTTTTTCTTTAGTATGCTCTCTTTTAAAAATTTGAAAAGTGGGTATGCGCCGCATACTCACGCATACCCTCCACTACATCCCTGTTCAAAATAAAAACAACATTCATCAAACAATAACTGACCAATAAACACGGTTATAGGTATACTGGTATAATAATATTAGATTAAAATTATTTTTATTTTAAGTTAATATTTAAATATTATATTATGTACAAATGCATAATTTAAGGAAAGGGTCTTGAAATTGTTCTGGTTTTTATTATTTTTAAGAGGGGTACCATATAGATCTCTTATTTCAAAAAAGGGCGCCACGAGACAAAAAAGTTTGGGAACCGCTGATATAAGCTAAAACAGTGTGAATCGCAATAACAGTTAAGAGGACTCAGGTCTTATATTATGTGATATACCTACTGATATGTTTTAGTTAGATACATAATATGTGAAAAGCGATTTCATATAACCCCCAGAATGAGTAGTCAGCATTATATAATATAGTCTCAGTAATAGTCTTCAATGGAAGTGTTTGTACAATTTTATAAATTATCATATAGACGGGATTACTCGTATTATAAGATATAAAAACTTACTTACTTATATATTAACATATTCTTACTAACTAATAGTCAATACTTCAATAGATTATTAATTAATTGACTAAAACAAATTAGAATATTATAATGGGTAAAAAATTAACATATAAATATCCTCTCTCTGCAGTTATTGACAAAAATAATTCACCGTGTTTGGTTGATATAACATGATGCAGGTAACAACAGATATAACTTGGAAAGAACTACACATTGTAGGCAGATATACATTTGTAGACGAGTGGAGATACGTAACTGGAAAATATAAAATTACCGTGGAAAACGTTATGTACCAGAACGACACGCCGTTATCCAAAAACATAGAGTTGTATCCTTCTTCAGCGCCAAATTCAGCCATATCTTATAGTAAATTTAAGACTACCTTTACTGGACACAATTTTTCAATTCCAGACGGATTTTTGGCTACACGGTAATTTTAGAAACAACTAATTTTAATATCTATAAAGACCTCGTTTAAAATTAATTATTATTTATTACACTCGAATCATTAACAATAAAAATAAATATATTATTCATTATTATTATAGTCTATTAGCGATCGTATTATGTAGGATGATACACTGAGAATACTCACTTATAAAGAAATAGTTTGGATTACTTATAAGTCTAGTCTTCTGTGGTGATACAAACTTTTCTTTTTTTCTAATAAAAGCTTTTTGAAAATGTCGATGTAGGTACCTAATTCAAAATTCGATCGAATAGTTTCTCAGTTATCAAAATGTAAATATAAAAGAACAAGGATATCTAATAGTTCTCAAAAAAGGTTTTAAAAAAATAAAAAACAGCTGTTATATTGGATTTAGTATTTATTATACTTGTATTATTTTAAAAATAATGAATGCTGATAATCATCATTTTAAGAAATCATTAGCTAAATAATTTACAGTAGAAAAGGGTAGGAGGTCCTCATTTGAAAACTATAGTATTTATAACCACTACWGAATGCTTCAATCAGTATGAACAATTTTAAGACTTTTAAAATATGTCTTTGAGTATATACTCATATTCATATATACCTATTTGAAAATGTTAAACAAAGAAAAATAAGGGTGAGCATGTTGTAAACTACCTATCATAATATTATACATTTATAAATATTATTATATTTTAGTATAGTCGTATTGAGACTGAGAGTAAAGAATAGAGACTCATGTTTTTTGATTTCGATAATTTGTAAAGTGCCCCATGATCCCTAAGTCCTACCTAAAGCTGTTCTTATAAAGTATAGTCYCACTTTGATCTATRTGTGTAGTATTGTTTAATAACWTCATTATAGGCTATAGTCTATATCCTTAAAAGCATGATTAAAATTACTGTCTCCAATGCACGTTGTAGGTATTTCTTGGAAGAAGTGGCGTTCGGACACATCGCGGACTATGCTCTGGAAGTGACACGGAAGAACGTGACGTCAGCTATCAGAGCGGCCATCCAGCCGTACGTGCAGTATAGGAATCGGTCAGACTCACACTTCCCACCCACTGCCGGTTGGCTGGACGACGGACGGTTCTTCGCCATCATTGTCCCGTTTGTCGACGGCCTGGATAAAGCGTTGCAAAAGGTCAACTCGGTGTGGACCGAACCGAACACGGGGGCCCTGATGGTCACCGTCGAGCACACGTTGCACAACATCAACGGTACGTTTAATCTGCACGTCGTCTCACGGCTGTCGGAATTGCAGCAGCCCAGCCGCGTAATCGATTTTTTCATGGACAGGGTCAGACTAAGCATCACGTACGACGTACTTAGGCCCAACTGCCTTTGTTCAGCCATCGTGAAGGTGTACAAGATCACCTCGCAGCCACGTGACACTCAAGACGACACGGGACATCTGCCAATAGTGGCCACCGCTTTCGCCAACGCCGTCAAAGATCACTTGTCCAACGGCTCGTGCTCGGCCATCGCGAAAACCAACAAGTACGGTACCAACCCATGCTAATGAATTTGGACACAATTATAAATAACCAAATATTTTTATATATTTTAATTTATTATTATACATATTTGCTAATATTTTTCGATGTGAATATTATATGAAACGTAATGTTTAGGCAATTTTATAAGATGTAATATTATAACGTGATGCTTGGACCTGAACTGAGTAAGATATAACTATTTATAATTTATATCATGCGAGAAGATATTGAATGATTTATAAATAAAACGAACGTACGTGCATTAGTTGTGTAATTATTTAAGTTGTATTTATATTATAATAGTATACATTTTTTAAAATTCTGAGCAGAGCAATGAATGTGCTGATTTTACAACGATTTGTTTTCATATGTATATACCTATACGTAAATAACAGATGGTTATCGCTTACACTCACTCGACATTTACCATACAGCAGAGTGGTTAGGTTACCCTACCTACCAGCTTTTACTCGTTTTCATTCGGATAAATTAAATTTTCAGACATACATATATATTTAGATATAATTAAAATAAATAAATGAAAAAATCGAAAGTCATTCTAAGGTAAAATTAAAGACCTTATATCGAATTAAAATCTGTTATCCAGAAGTTTTATAAATAGTTATTGGACAAAAAATAACGAAAAGAAACTCGCGTAGTAAAGGATCGGAAAGTATAGTGATGTGTGTGATGCGCATGTGTATGTGGAAGTTATGATAGATGTATATACCATTGAGTAAATAATAAACTTATATAATCATAATTTACTCACACACAATAGCTCGGCTCAAAGATCATATTCATTATATTGCCTATATTGAACTACTTAAAAATGTATCATACTTTGTAATAATATAGCTAATATTCATATTCTATAGAAAGTTCCAATTATACATTGCAATTTTTCAATATGATATTTTAAAATGATTTATATGTAATTTGTCCGTTTTTTAGGGTGTTCTTATAAATATTATTTGCCAAGCACTTTTCAAGTTTAAATTATTACTTAAGGAAGTTATTCTCAATTTTCCTCAAGTTTCTTGAAGTGTAAGAAAAAAAGCAACAAACCAAAACCTAAAAAAAAGGCGGGTAAGTCGTGGATGTCGCTCTGCTGTACAG